TGAGCATAAATACACCGAGTATTGTCCTTCCTTCAGCCCAAAGATTCAAAGAATTGGGAGATTTCAACATTACTAAGGCACAAAATTATATAAACATATATCCAACCCAAATTCTGGAATTAACCAAGGAATGATCTATTATCAGTGCAGTGATTCATATGTTTCAGCTGACAACAGGTGCTTTACTAGCTGGGCCCACGTCCTCATTTTAGGTTTGACAGCGTTTTGTAGTAGATAAAGGCGAGTGGCTTAAACATGAATTGATCTGCGGTTTGGCCTAACAGCTATTCAACGCAGTAATAAAACCTGGAAGGATAATGGTGAAGAATCATCTGTGAGACAGAGGTTTGATTAAATCAAATTGTAAGAAATCAACAGTAGAATTCAAAGTTTGGTTTAATAGTGAATGTAAGAACATTTTCATGCAATGTACGGCCTTAAGAAAACACTTATCAGTGAAGCCAATGAGAAGGTTTCAGTTTAGGGAACATAAATATTGCCGTTGGGAGCAGTGGAAAAAAGTTGTTGCCTGATGAGTCGCTGTTCCAAAGACATAGAAAAATCCGGTTCAGAAGAAAAGTGACCAGTAACGCCTACCAGGCAATCCTGTAGGGGCACTGGGGCAACTACCTTTTTTGGGGGGCACCTTGCCCTCTGACTCCTGTGGATATTCATCAGCCTGAGATATTTAAAATGAATCATGTCCAACTTATGAACAAACATCTTTGGAAAGCTGCGACAGGGTCTCTACATTCACGTTGGAGCATTAGCAGACCCACAGAGCCACATTAATGAGACATAATGTCACATCCCTGGCATTGTGTTGTCTTTGTTCTGCTACTCCAGGTTTCTAGTTTCCTTATTTCATGATTTCGTGTCTCTTCTCTGTTCTGCGTTTCTGTCCTTGTTATAGTTTCTGCATCAGAGTGCCTTCAGTCCTCACTTTTCAATTATCTCTTCATTTCTTCCTGTTTCACACTGCGGGTTTGTCGTCTCGTGTTTCGGTTTTGCTTCCTGGTTTTTGTTTCCCTGCTGTGGGATCATCTGCTCTGCCGTCAAGTACATTTGACCTTTACTCGTGTTACCTTCGTCTAATATGTAAGTTTGTCTGATCATGTGAAACATTTAGGTTTAACAAATATACAAAAATAGGAGATCAGAAAAGCAGCAAACACTTTTTCACACCACTGCATATCGCTGGGCTCAGTCTGCACCTGGGTCCTCTCATTCTTCAATGACAGAAAATTTATAAAGGTCTCAGCAAATGTGTTGTTTACTATAATATCAAACTACTTATTAATAGTTTGACATTATATTTATAAAATCTCCAGACCAGAGATGTCAAACTCATCTTACATCATACACAGCCTACTTTCCAGCAAAACTCCCTTTCCTGCAGGGTAAAGATGTTTAACTACACATTTAATCTAATTTAATATCAGAAAAAGAATTGCAATTTTAACAGGAGGTCTTGGTTTTTCTACATGATAAAGAAATGCTGCTGTAGTTAATGAAAACAATCTATCAGCACACATAAATAGATGTGTAAACTTACAGAAAAGGTTCTGGTAGCGTACTAACCAGGCGCTCCTGCAATTACAATTACAGAAGAGTAATTCATGTTTAATAAATCAGAATAAAAAATATTACTATTATAGAAACTTCGGTCTTATTGTTTATCTGTAACGTTGGTATAGTATGAATGGTTATGGAGGAGATCAGCAGGAGAAGCTGTAAAAACTATGAACATACAGGTAAAAGTCCAAAATGTGTGCTCTTGTTTACATTTTCCAAAGATGCCCAGTGGGCTGGATTTAAGTCTTTGCCAGGATAATTCTGATTCTGGCCCT